GGACAAGGTCCTGAACGCTGCGCTTAGTGCCTGTCTCCACACCAACAGCCGAGTCCAGCCCTCCACCGAGCCCAGAAAGAAGTCCCCAAATTACCGAAAATCGATGACAGAAATGACCCAAAGTCCCAGTGGAGAAGGAAAGGTTGTGAGGAGTTGAGTGACTTATCCAGGACGTTCAACTGGGTCCCTGTGCCAAAAGCAAAAGCAGGAGCACCACCAGCACCAGTAGCAGTACCAGCAGAATGAGTATCTTCAAAATCTCCAGCCCAGTTGCTGCAGCAACTCTGGGTATCCAGGGATGTGGTTGGATGGACATGGTAGGATGGATGTAGTCGGACTTAGGTGCCTGATGTACATGGCAGCAGGGAGATACCTTGAGAGATGCTGTGAAATGGAGGTTCCTGGTCAGTGTGGCAGGATGGAAGTGCCCCAAAGCATGGACCAGGCTGTCAGTGCTCAAAGGATGGAGCATGATGGCTGCATTGAGACACAGATACCCTGATGGATGTAGTGGGCTGGAGCTGCCCAATGGACATAGTGAGAGGGATGCATGCGGATAATTGCAACCTCACCTTCACAGAGTCAGGGTATAAGTTGTCCAACAATCAATGTTGGCTTTGCTCTTATCCATGATTTCATTGAGGGATGCCAGGAAGAGTTTTACACTGTGGGGATACCTTGAAATGACCTGTGGGAGAGCACGATAGTGGGGTTAAAAAGAGGGAGATGGAATTAGAGGGAGGCACGAAGACCTTTAAAATGTGCTCACAGGAGTGACATGGAAACTCCTGCTTCTCCTGTGATTAACAGTTTATGATTTACCAGTGCCATATACTTGCAAATAACATAGATAATATATATGCAACATAATAAATACATGTGTTATTTTTAGATAATCCACCTTACACAATGTTATCCATAATATTTACCATATATAATATTGATTTGCTATAAACCTATTTTTTCTTGGTTATACTTTTAAGTCTATATGTATAAAAGTGTGTCTGCAACCAAATGCAAAATATGGTCTAATTATTCCAGTATTGGCTGGCTGATTCTCTGAACCAAACCCTGTTGTTTATTCTTTCATGCCTCTCTTCTCTTATCTCCAGACTTCAACCCCAGCCAGCCCTGTTTCCTGACCCGTTCTGCTCTTAGGCACCAGCAGATCTAGCTCAATAAAATGCACAACTAAAAGTGCCAGGACCAAGACCCATAAAGGAAGTTTGTTCTTTCTCACACAGCTTGGTTGCCTCTGTGATATCTAACATTATACACGAGAAAACTGAGTGAACCTCCTCCCACAAAGAGCGTTGCACTAAAGAAACTGGTCATCTACATGTTCTCTTCCTTCTTCTCCCTAGCCCCAGTCCTTTGGCTCTGACTTTTTTGTGCCTCTTTCTTTCAAAGATCATGGACATCAAAGGACAAAGATTCTTTTCATCACCTTTGCACAGCTCACTTCTGTTAATGCACAGCTAGGATTGCTGGGACCAAGACCGATAAAGGCCAAAGGCAAAAATGTCAAAGGAGAAAGATCATTTTCATCACCTTTTCCTCAGATCCATCAACATTTTCCACCACTCTTAATGAAGAAAAATGAAAACCCAAACCGTTCTATATGCCCCCGCTGAAGAGCTCTGTCCAGGAGCACCAGGACATGTCCTTCTGCTCCCCAAGGAGGTCTGCACCCGGGCCCAAGAGCACTCTCTGTCCTTCAGCTGCCCTCTGACAACTGCCATGGCCCTTCCTGAGGAGCTTGGCTTGGAGTCGGAGGGAGAAAATGTCTGGTCCTTGTTAAGGATGACAGACGTGCTCCTCAGGTCTAAGGCTTAGGGACTTGAACCCGCACGAGGACTAATTTCCTTAGAAAGAAGCCAAGAGCCTCTCTGAAGAACCAGAGCCCAAGTCTCTGACAGAGGTGGTGAGTGCCAGGACTGGGATCACAGTCCTGGGCAAACGTAAAGACCCACTAACTGAGAAAACACCCTGAAGTGCTCCTGGRCMCACRCCAGAGTCCTCCAAGTCCCCCGAGAAGGGACAAGGTCCTGAACGCTGCRCTTAGTGCCTGTCTCCACACYGACAGCCGAGTCCAGCCCTCCACCRAGCCCAGAAAGAAGTCCCCAAATTACCGAAAATCGATGACAGAAATGACCCAAAGTCCCAGTGTGAGGAGTTGAGCGACTTACCCAGGACGTTCAACTGGGTCCCCGCGCCGAAAGCAGCATCAGCATAAGCACTACCAGTACCAGTATCAGCAGGATCAGTATCTTCAAAAACATCCAGCCCAGTTGCTGCAGTCATGGCCACACTCTGGGCCTCCAGAGACGTGGTTGGATGGACGTAGTGGGGCTTAGGTGCCATGATGTACATGTCAGGGGGCAGATGCCTTGAGAGATGCTGTGGAAGGGAGGTTTCCTGGTTGGTGTGGCAGGATGGAAGTGCCCCAAAGCATGGACCAGGCTGTCAGTGCCCAATGGATGGAGCAAGATGGCTGCACTGAAGTGCAGGTGCCCTGGTAGATGTGCTACATATATACATGTATGTCTGCAACCGAATGCAACTCTGTGTGGGAACTGTCACAGCCCTTCCTGAGGAGCTTGGCTTGGAGTTGTACAGAGATAATGTCTGGTCCTTGTTAAGGATGACAAACCTGCGCTTCAGGTCTAAGGCTTAGGGACTTGAACCCGCACAAGGACTAATTTCCTTAGAAAGAAGCCAAGAGCCTCTCTGAGGAACCTGAGCCCAAGTCTCTGAAATAGGCCACATGTGCCAGAACTGAGGTTAATATCCTGGGCAAAAGTGAAGACCCACTAACTGAGAAATACCCTGAAGTGCTCCTGGGCACTTGCTGGAGTCCTCTGAGTCCTGTGAGATGGGATCAGGTCCTGAATGCTGCGCTTAGTGCCTGTCTCTACACTGACAGCCGAGTCCAGCCTTCTACCAAGCCAAGTCCCCAAATTACCGAAAATCGATGACAGAAATGTCCCTATTTCCTGGTGGAGAAGGAAAGATTATGAGGAGTTGAGCGACTTACCCAGGACGTTCAACTGGGTCCCCGCGCCGAATTCACCAGTTGCTGGGTAAGAATTTCCAAAGCCATCAGCCCAGTTGCTGGCACAGTGCCCATATCCTGTGTTCTCAAAAACACGGTGGGTCATGTCCACGTGGATGCACAGGAATGGAGGGGCACCAATAGCCCTGGTAGGATGGAGGTGTCCTCTTCTCTGTGCCTGGACTGAGGTGCCTCTATGGTTAGACATGGCAGGACAGGGATGCTCTGATTTATTTACCCACGGATGGAGCAAAATGGATGCATCAGCAGGGAAGTGCCCTGAGGTCTGCAGTGGGCTGGAGATATCCAATTAATGTAGTGGGGTGGTTATGTTGAGATTTAGGTGGCATAATCAATGCTTCAAGATGGATGCAGTGGGATGAAGATCCCGCAATGGGCATGGTGGAGAGGATGCATGGAGGAGAAGCCCTCTTGGCTGCAATGGCATCAAGGTGGAAGTGGTAGTATGGCTGCAGCAGGAGAGCTGCAACATGCTTGATATGTCCTGACAGACTCGGCGTTGTAGAATGGTGCATTAGGGAGGGCTGTGCATCCTTGATGGAGGAACCAGGGTAAAATTCAGGGTCTTGCCGGGAGAGGAGAGCATTAGCCTAGCGGCGTGGAGCTGCAGGTGCATCGCCTACCCTGTCATGGCTGCCTTGTGCTTGATAGGCACCAACCTTCCTGCCTGCTGCAGAGGTAACGTTAACCCCAAGAAAAAGGGATCACAGAATCACAGAATGTTTAAGGTTGGAAGGGACCTCTAGAGATCATCTAGTCCAACCTTCCTGCTCCAGCAGGGACACCTGGAGCAGGTGGCACAGGGGTGTACCAGTGGCGCAGGGGATCTGGGGACACAGCAGCTGGTGCAGGCCCAGGGGTCACCTGCCTGGACTAGGCTTTGGCAGGACGCTGCTGATCCACATGGCTCCATGCCATGGTGCACAGGGACATGCTGTGCTCAGGGTCACACGGGAGGGGACAGCCAAGATGCCAGGCTCTGCTGGGTCCTGTGGAGAGAGGGCAACAGAAGCCCTGGCCACCACCTGGGCAGCTCCCTGGGCCACTGGCACTGACATGAGCCCATGTGTGCTGGAGCCCATGGGCACCAGTTGCAGCTCCAGCACAGCAGGAGCAGGCTTTGCTCCTGGCCCATGCCCAGCACGGGGAACGCAGGAGGCTCCCGCAGAGCTCCTGCCCAGGGCACGTGGGCGCTGGGCTGCATCGTGCACAGTCACGCGCTTGCAGCAGGGCCTGGCCGCTGAGGCATTCTGCAGCGGACAGACGAGCTTCCCCACCAGCACCTGGTGTGTCGGCACCAGGGGAGGCCAAGCTCTGTGCTAGGGCTGGGGTGAGCACAGGGCCTCATTCATCTTGGCCTTGCAGAGGAGCAGCTGGTGGCCACGTTCACAGGAGGGTTTTGTTCCTGCTCTGGCAGAAGTTGTCACAGCCCAGGCTGCAGCAGACGAGTCCCATGGGGCTGCAGCCCCAGCACAGGCAGCCTGAAGGCCACGTAGGACAGTGCCAGTGCTGGGGTCCAATCAGGAGGTCGTGACAGGCTGGGAGCTGCTGGCCACATGGAGACCAGGACACAGCAGTGGCCTCTCCTCCAGCCACGCTGAGGCTGGCCCTGCAGCAGGGCACGGGGACACGGCGCCTCAGGAGCAGCCAGCGCATTTGGCAACACCCTCCCACCCTGCAGCGGCTCCCCTGGGGCCTCCCGCACTTGGATTGCCCGTTGGGGGCTGCATGGCACGTGGAGGAAAGGGAGGGCACAGCCTCGCAGCCCCCGGGGGCCACGAGCCGAGTGGTCATAGGAGAAGAACCCTAGGCAGGGACATGGACAGGCAGCACTCAGCCCTTGGGCCACGCTGGCAGCGGGATCCCCACCCCATGTTCAACCAAGGAGGCGAGACAGAGACGCAGATGCAGAACCAGCGCTAGTTCAATGTCTGTGTTTATTAGGATGACTTCAGAGTAGGGGGACAAGTGAGGGGGGCAGAGAGCCCGGGCACAGGGGGACAGCAGGGACCTGTGCCGGAGGAGAGCTGCTTCCACCAGCAGCCATGGGGAGGGACAGACATGGAGATGTGAGTGTGGAAGGGGATGAGGAGAGGGGATGGTGGAGCTCCTGGTGTGTTAGACAGGGCACTCCGATCTCTTGATGACCTTCTCGATTTTCTTGCTGTTGTGCGTGACCTCGCAGGTGTATGTTTCGTGGCTCTTCCATTCGCTGGCAGATAGTGACAGGTAGCTGCTGCCCATGTACTTGTTGTTGCTCTGCTTCTGAGGCTTGGGGGTCTCCACGTCAGTGGTGCGGGTGGTGCCATCAACCTTCCAGACAACAGTCGCAGAACCAGGGTAGAAGTCGGCTAGCAGGCACACCAAGGTGGCCTTCTGCTTTGAGTTGATCTCCTCAGAAGATGGAGGGAAGAGGTATACATCAGGGGTGGCCGTAGGCTGACCTGCAGTGGGGAGAGAGAGACACCAGGGTTAAGGAGAGACACAAACATGGTGGCAGGTTGGTCTACCACGGCACATCGCTGCACCATCAAGCATCAGCAAGACCTCCTTGTCCCCAGATGCCAACAGGGGTGTCAGCTTGTTCCGCAGCGCTGGGGTGACCTGGACGGGCCAGGCAGCAGTGCCAAGGCTGCGGACAGTCCCAGGCAGCCCTGGCCGCCGGAACCAGGAAACTCTGTTTTCCCCACAAGTGACGTCTTATGATTTATAATTGCCATACACTTGAAAATAACATATATAGCATATATGCAACATTATACATACGTATACATGCTATTTTTAAATAATACATTCAACATTATGTAATGTTATTCATCATAAACACAATGTATAATTCATATTTTCTATATGCCTAGTTTTTCATAATTGTATTTTTTGGCTACATATATATATATATATATATAGGGCCATATAGATATATATACACACACAGTTTATATGTGTATGTATATATAAAAATATATATTACTTTCATATATATATTTTTAATTATATATATAATTATATACAAACTTTTTTTGTGTGTGTGTATACACACACACACACACACATACAAAGCATGCATGTGAATGTATATCTACAACCAAACACAGAATTTGGACTAATCTTTCTAATCTTTCCACTTTTAGCTCTCTGATTCTCTGACACAAACCTTGTTCTTTCTTCCTTTCTTTCTCTGTGGCTGTCTTCTCTTATCTCCAGACTTCAACCCCAGCCAGCCCTGTTTCCTGACCCGTTCTGCTCTTAGGCACCAGCAGATCTAGCTCAATAAAATGCACAACTAAAAGTGCCAGGACCAAGACCCATAAAGGAAGTTTGTTCTTTCTCACACAGCTTGGTTGCCTCTGTGATATCTAACATTATACACGAGAAAACTGAGTGAACCTCCTCCCACAAAGAGCGTTGCACTAAAGAAACTGGTCATCTACATGTTCTCTTCCTTCTTCTCCCTAGCCCCAGTCCTTTGGCTCTGACTTTTTTGTGCCTCTTTCTTTTAAAGATCATGGACATCAAAGGACAATGATTATTTTCATCACCTTTTCCACAGAATAAGCAACATTTACCTTTAATGTAGAAAAAAATAATTTAAAAATAATTAAATTTTAATTAAAAAAATAATTTTAAATTATTTTTAATTTAAAAAAAATCTACCTTTAATGTAGGGGAAAAAAAAAAAACCTCAAAAAAGAAAACACTCTCAATGCCCCCGCTGAAGAGCTCTGTCCAGGAGCACCAGGACATGTCCTTCTGCTCCCCAAGGAGGTCTGCACCGTGCCCAAGAGCACTCTCTGTCCTTCAGCTGCCCTCTGACAACTGCCATAGCCCTTCCTGAGGAGCTTGGCTTGGAGTCGGCTGGAGATAATGTCTGGTCCTTGTTAAGGATGACAGACGTGCTCCTCAGGTCTAAGGCTTAAGGACTTGAACCCRCACAAGGACTAATTTCCTTAGAAAGAAACAAAGAGCCTCTCTGAGGAACCAGAGCCCAAGTCTCTGACAGSGGTCATGAGTACCAGGACAGGGGTCACAGTCCTGGGCAAACGTAAAGACCCACTAACTGAGAAAACACCCTGAAGTGCTCCTGGACCCACGCCAGAGTCCTCCAAGTCCCCCGAGAAGGGACAAGGTCCTGAACGCTGCGCTTAGTGCCTGTCTCCACACCGACAGCCGAGTCCAGCCCTCCACCGAGCCCAGAAAGAAGTCCCCAAATTACCGAAAATCGATGACAGAAATGACCCAAAGTCCCAGTGTGAGGAGTTGAGCGACTTACCCAGGACGTTCAACTGGGTCCCCGCGCCGAAAACACCACACAGTGATTTGGGGCTGTACAAAAACCCCCAGTCCAGCTGCATGTGTGGTTCTTATCCTCTGTGTTCCCAAGAATGTAGTAGGATGGAGATGGTAGGAAGGATGTTCCTTGATGGATAGAACACGATAGATACATCGGGATGGAGATCCCTCAATAGATGAAGTGTGAATAGAGGTGCCCCACTATATGCATCTGAATGGATGCAATTTCCAAAGCTGCTGGGGGCAACATCAGCGCAGTTACGTCCTGCCAGTGATCAGCGGGCAATGGATAATCCAGGAGTCTCCCACCACATTCATGCCTGCAGGCTAGAAAGCTCTGAGTTCTGTCAGTGCTCACTGAGTCACGGTGGGGCCATGGCACTGGAGCATCCCGCTGGGGACTCATGAGCATTTCCCCTACGGGCACCAGCATTTCAGCACCGTCAGAGACGGAGCTCTGTGCTGGGGTGAGCAGAAGGGCTCTATGAACCACTGCTGTCTCCAGGGAGCAGCCCTGGGGACACCTGCTGAGGGTGAGGGGACATCCCTCCAGAGCAGGTAGCAGCTGGAGGCCACAGTCACAGCACATTTTTATTTCTGCTGGAGCAGATACCAGCAGCAGACACAACTATTAAAGTGTTCTGGCCCTTGGAGATGGAGCTGCTGCTCCTGGCTCGCTGCCTTGGCTGCCCCACGAGCAGCCAGAGACTCCTGGTCATGCCATCATGCTCACCTGGGCATCTCTGTGCCACAATCATGCGGGGGACCTTCCTGCCAAGGGGCACAGGCAGAGATGGGAAGCCGGGGGGATGGACATATTGGGATGGAGGTGTTTAGCTTAGAGAAAATGAGTTCTTGAGATGTTAAATTTAAATAGCACCCACTTAAACTTAAAAATATTTAGGCAGTGTGGTTTGTGCAAGTGGTTACAGAAAGATGCAGAGGCAGTTGGGTTTTGGAAGATAACTAGAGATGGGCCTGTCCTCCATGGGCTGTGCACAGGAAATGCACATTACTCACACCAGAAGCGTTTGCAGGAAATAGAGACCATCAGTGAATCTTGCAAGTCATTAAAAAGGAAACAATGCATAGAAAATTTTGTGGTTCGAGGAACTTCCAGTTTCAGAAGTTCACTTCTCCGCTGGGAAGGCCTAGGCACAGCTGAAAAAGGTGAAAGTTGGCAAAAACTCATTGAAATCCTTTATGCAAAAGAGAACCCCACAAGCATGGCGGTTACCAGCTAAAACCAGCACTAGCTGCCGAGGGGACCAGTGCTGCTCTCACTGTGCCGGCCCCAGGGCTGCAGCTGGTCACCAGCAAAGCTTTGCCACCAGCAATGCAGGACAGCACAAGGGCTGTGGTGGGGACATGTGTGCCCATCGTGAAGAAGGCAGCAGACACTGCTCAGTGGTCCCTGAAATGAGGGGTTTGTGCCACATTTTCCCATTGCCTGGCATAACGGCAGGAGCATCACTGCTGCTATAAGAGCTCGCACAGTAAAAACGAGCCTGATCCTCAGCTTAGGCCCTAGAGATGAATAACAGGGCTATGGAGCTGCTATGTGGTGGTGACAGGCACAACCCTGGGTCACTAGAGCAGGGCACAGCCTTGGGCAGAGCGGGGCAGCACGGGGAGGGCTGCGGTCCGGACACGTGCAACCTTCTCAAGAGGAAAACAGACACAGTTCAGCAGCGATGGAGGGAGGTTTGTGTCACACTTCCCCGTTGCTTGGTGCCACTGTGGCAGCAGCACTGTTACCACAGTAATAGACGGCCTCGTCCTCGGCTTGCACCCCAGTGATGGTTAAAGTGTTCGAGGAGCCAGACTTCGAAGCGGAGAATCTCACCGGGATGCCCGAGGGTCTCTTGTCGTTCTGATAGATCACAACGACTGGGGCACCACCAGGTTTCTGCTGCCACCAGGCATAGTAGCTGCCGCTACCAGAGCAGGTGATGGTGGCGGTGCCTCCGGGGGACACGTCCACCGAGGCCGGCTGAGTCACTGCTGCCTGGACCAGGGATCCTGCAGAGGGAGAGGAGAGAGGGCAGAGAGCGGCGGGTCAGCAAGTGCGGCAGCAGCAGAGCCCCCCGCGCAGCGCGATGCCCCCGGCCCTGGTGCCCGCAGGCCGCGCACCCCCCGGCTGCCCAGGGCACCTGAGCCGTGGGCGAGCAGCGCCAGGAGGAGAGGGGCCCAGGCCATGGCGCGATGCCTCCAGCTGCGCGTCCCCACGCCGACGGGCTCTGCCGCCGACCCCCTGCTCCCTATAAAGCCCCGCGCGCCCGCGGCTCGGCCCCTCCATGCAAATCCGCCCCGCGCGCCCCAGAGCTGCACGCGCCTCCTCCCCGCCCCACGGTATCCGCAGTGTGGCCTTTCCGGGGTCGGAGAGCACAGACACGTTCCACATACTTGCCAAAACCCAGGCACCGGTAGGACACCCATCCCCAGACCCACATGGGCAGAGCAGGGCCAAGGAGCCCCTGCCAGTCTTCAACTGCTGCCACACGGAGCCCGGGGTCCCCTTGATCCAGGCTGGGCTCTTGCTGGCGGCCACGGCTCTGTGCTCAGACTGCAAAGCAGAGCTCCTGCTGCCTCCCAAGGAGGGCCCAGGGCTCCTGTCTCATGGCCACCCTGGAAAACAACCCCAAGATGCAGCAGTTCACCCACCTCAGTCATCACTCAACAACCTTGAGCACCTTGCAGCACCCAGTGTTCCCCATGGACTCACACCACTGCACTTGGGGCACTGCACATCACTCCTTAGGGCACTGCAAGGTTCCTGCTGGTATCAGCCTTAATCTATCAACCCCTGGAGCCAGTGATTTGGGCAGTCTGTCCTGGGCACAGGGACACCTGGGTTGCTCAGTGAAACGAGCTGCAAGCAGGGCGATGAGGCAGGCGCTCCCACTGCCCACGTGCAGAGCACGGGGCTCAGCAAGGGCTGCCAAACCGGCAGGTTCCGGCCACGTGCACCCACGTCAGCTCTGATGCTGCAGTGTCACCCTCAGAGAGGAGCTCAGCCTGAAGGAGCAGACAAAAGGCACGCTTTTCCCAAGGAAGTCTGCAGCTCCACACACTGCCGCACCGCAGCCCCTGTGCCTCCCTTTGGTCAAGGGAGGGGATCCTGCCCCTCTACCAGCTCTGGTGAGGCCGCACCTGGAGCATTGGGGGCAGTTCTGGGCTCCCCAGTATGAGGGACGTGGAGCTTCTAGAGACCGTCCAGTGGAGGGCAACAAAGATGATTAAGGGACTGAAACATCTCTCATATGAGGAGAGACTGAGTGAGCTGGGCCTGTTTAGCTTGGAGAAGAGAAGGCTGAGAGGGGATCTGATTAACATGTGCAAGTACATGAAGGGAGATTGCAGGGAGGAAGGGGCCAAGCTCTTCTCAGTAGTGGCCAGTGACAGGACAAGGGGTAACGGGTGTAAGGTGAAACACAGGAGGTTCCATCTCCATGTGAGGAAGAACTTCTTTACTGTGAGGGTGACCGAGCCCTGGAACAGGCTGCCCAGGGAGGCTGTGGAGTCTCCTTCTCTGGAGGTCTTCAAAACCCGCCTGGATGCCGCCCTGTGCCCCGTGCTCTGGGTGTCTCTGCTGGAGCAGGGGGTTGGACTAGGTGATCTCTAAAGGTCCCTTCCAACATGAACCATTCTGTGATTCTGTCCCTCAGACCGGCCTTAGGGAGAGCACCAGGCTGTGACTGCGCCCGTCACTGCTGCACTGACGGCCTCACCCTGAGCATCCCCGACACGCGAGGCCCCTTTCTCCTGCTGCCCAGCCAACCCTGAGCTCCCTCCCTGCAGCTCAGAGCCAGGCCAGACCCTAGGGCCTCACGGCCAGGCTGGGCTCTCCTGCCCATGCTCACCCAGGGACGTGGTGGCTGGAGGCCTCGAGGCCAGGGCAGAGGCTGCCGGAGGCCGCAGCCCCAGTGCGGCAGCTCAGCGCGAAGGCGCGAGGCCAACGGGCAGCAGATCCCAGCACCAGCGGGGCCCTGGCAGAGCTGTGCGGGCAGGAGGGCAGGGAGGGCACCCACAGGGCCCCGGCCACCGGCCTGGCCCTGCAGGACACCTCAGCCCTGCAGGAGACAGGGCCCCGCTGGGCCCCACCAGCCTGGGCTCTCTTCCTTCCTCCCGAGTGACCGTGTTGGGCACAGGCTGAGGGAACTAGAGCCGGGCAGAGGCCTGTGCAGAGGGGGAGTGTGGGGAGGGCTGCGGTCGGGAGCTGTGCGACCATCACACAGGGAAAAGAGACACTGTTCACTGGTCCATGAGATGGCAGGAGGTTTATGTCACACTTCCCCATTGCTTCGTGCCACTGTGGCACCAGTATAGCTACCAGCATAGCTACCACAGTAATAGACGGCTTCGTCCTCGGCTTGCACCCCAGTGATGGTTAAGGTGGCCGTGGAGCCAGACTTGGAACCGGAGAATCTCGCAGGGATGCCCGAGGGTCTCTTGTCGTTGCTATAGATCACAGGGACTGGGGCACCACCAGGTTTCTGCTGGAACCAGCCATAAGCATAGCTGCTACCAGAGCAGGTGATGGTGGCGGTGCCTCCGGGCGACACGTCCACAGAGGCCGGCTGAGTCAGCGCTGCCTGGACCAGGGATCCTGCAGAGGGAGAGGAGAGAGGGCAGAGAGCGGCGGGTCAGCGAGTGCGGCAGCAGCAGAGCCCCCCGCGCAGCGCGATGCCCCCGGCCCCRGTGCCCGCAGGCCGCGCACCCCCCGGCTGCCCAGGGCACCTGAGCCGTGGGCGAGCAGCGCCAGGAGGAGAGGGGCCCAGGCCATGGCGCGATGCCTCCAGCTGCGCGTCCCCACGCCGACGGGCTCTGCCGCCGACCCCCTGCTCCCTATAAAGCCCCGCGCGCCCGCGGCTCAGCCCCTCCATGCAAATCCACTCCGCGCGCCCCAGAGCTGCACGCGCCTCCTCCCCACTGCCCGCCCCGCTCACTGCCCAGCCTGGCCACATTTTCCGCTCCGTGGCCTTTCCGGGATCGGAGAGCACAAATACATCCTATGGCCTTCTTGAAATCCAGGCACGCCATCCCCAGAGCTGCAGAGCAGCGCCAAAGAGCCTGGGAAAGCTCCGACAACTCCAACGTGGAGCCCATCAACAAGGCCACCTCCACACTCGACATCACCTCCTCTTACATGTGTTACCTGCCCCACAAGGAGTTTGGCCATTCCTGCCTCTGTGCAACACAAAATGTGCCCTGCAGAGCTGCCACTGTCCCTCGCCCTTTTCCACCAAGGCAGATACCACCTCTGGACTGCCCAGCACAAGAGAGGAGGGGTTTAGCAAAGGGCAATAAGGTGCTGGGGGTCTTGGAGCCTCTCTCATCCTGGAAAGACACTGAGGGAGCTGAGGCTGTTTAGTCTGCACAAGGGAAGGTCAGGGAGAAGCTGATCAATGCTTGTAAATACCTGATGGAGGACAAAACACAGAGTCAGGCCCTTCCCAGAGGTGTCCCAAGACAGGATGAGAAGATGTGAGAGTAAACTGAAATTCAGGGTGCTCCTTTTACATGGAAGACACAGATTCTTCTGCCCTGAAGGAGCTCAAGCCCTGGCCAAAGTGGCCCTGAGCGTCTGTGAAGCACCCTTCCCTGGAGACAGGCAAGCCACAAGGGCACGGGTCCTCTAGCACGTTCACTGCTCAATCCTGCTATGGCCAGGGTGGTTGGAGGAGACGCTGGTCACTGAGCAGCAAGTTGGATCCAATCTCAGTGACTCCAGGGCTTCCCTTGCCCAACATCTGCATTGCCCTCTTGCTCTTTACTCTTGCTTCCTTCCCCTTCCTTCTTTCACCTCGGGACCAGATTTTCAAGGCCTTTTCTCCTCTTCTGGCTACATCTACACAGTGGATACCTGGCGCCAGCCTCTGGGAACACCAGCACCCCGCTCTCATTGAACACATGCTCAGCAGGACAGGGCAGGCCTGGATGGGGCAGCTACCTCTATGGGCATCACGGACAGGACGTGCTACAGCAGCACTTGCGTCCCAAGGCGACTCACGTTCACCAGCACATTTGCTGCTCCTCCATCAGGTTCCCCACCAGCAGTGAGGAACTGAGGGGCCCTGGCACTGCAGCACATTGTCATCTCACTTCCCCTTTGCTCGATGTCATGATCATCAGCCCTACCAGTCCAGCCACCACAGTAATAGATGGCCTCGTCCTCGGCTTGCACCCCAGTGATGGTTAAGGTGGCCGTGGAGCCAGACAAGGAACCGGAGAATCGTGCAGGGATGCCCGAGGGTCTCTGGTTCTCATATATCATAGCAACCAGGGCACCACCAGGTTTTTGTTGGTACCAGCCATAATTATAGCTGCCCGTGGAGCAGGTGGTCTCAGCAGCTTGTCCCGAGGTAAAAACTCCATGGCCAGATACGGGTCAGAACTGTCTGGACCAGGGAAGCAGGAAGAGGAAGACAAAGGAGGGAGAGAGCAGGAGGTCAGCAGGTCCTGGAAGAGCTGGGCTCCTCCATGCACTGGGCAGGATGGGGCTCTGGTGCCTGCAGGCCTGGAGAAGGGGACACCTAGTGTGCCAGGCCACGAGCCCAGGCACCCCCTTATGGGGTGGCTCTGGTCAGGTCCTGTGCCCTGCCTGCTGCTGCCTGAGGGCCACACAGCTCCCCGTGGCTGAAGCCAGGCAGCCCCAAAGCTTCACTGGCCGTGGGCACCCAGCCCGTGAGGCATGTGGCATCTTGCGCACGGTAAAGCAAAGAGAGAGGCAACGGCTGATGGAAAGCAGAGGGGACACTTTGTCACAGCCTCACAGGCAGGAGACAGGCCCAAGCAAGGCCCAAGCGGAAGGGCCTGGCATGGTTCTCACCAGCCTGGGTTCTGTTCCCTGCTCTCAAGCAGTGGAAACATGGGGACGGTCACAGCCCTGTGTTCCTAGTGAAGGGGTGAGCAGGGCGATGGGCACAGACACGGGCAGCACAGGGCAGGGTGGAAAGGGCGGTTGTTGAGGCTTGTGCAACCTTCACACCAAGATACCAAACACTGTTCACTGGTCCATGCGATGGCGGGAGGTTTGTGTCACACTTCCCCATTGCTGGGGATCACCGTATAAGCACTAATGCTGCTGTCCCAGCTACCACAGTAATAGACGGCCTCGTCCTTGGCTTGCACCCCAGTGATGGTTAAGGTGCCCGTGGAGCCAGACTGGGAACCGGAGAATCTCGCAGGGATGCCCGAGGGTCTCTGATTGCTGCCATAGATCACAGGGACTGGGGCACCACCAGGTTTCTGCTGGTACCAGCCATAGCTGCTGCTGCTACCAGAGCAGGTGATGGTGGCGGTGCCTTCGGGGGACACGTCCACAGAGGCCGGCTGAGTCAGCGCTGCCTGGACCAGGGATCCTGCAGAGGGAGAGGAGAGAGGGCAGAGAGCGGCGGGTCAGTGAGTGCGGCAGCAGCAGAGCCCAGTGCCCGCAGGTCCCACCAGGCAGCTCCTTCAGAAACCAGAGCCTGGACAACACCAGACTCCAAGAACTGCCTTTCTCCAACCTCAAGGACTCCAGGTCTTCCCTTGCCCAGCACCTGCATTGTCCTCTTGCTCTGCTGTGTTTTGCTCTTGCCTCCCAGCTTTCCTGCTTTGCACATGGGGCCACCTGGACAAGGACTTTCCTGTTCCCAGGCTCCAGGTACACAGCACCACAGCAGACCATGGAGATCATGGTGGGAATTGTGGTTGGGCCCCTTGCAAACATCACATGGAGAAACTAGGCACTGTTCAATGATCATTGTAACGGGGAGAGCTTTGGGTCGCACTTCTCCAAAGCTCAATGTCAGTGTGTCACCAGCATAACCAGCAGCATTGCTAGCACAGTAATAGACGGCCTCGTCCTCGGCTTGCACCCCAGTGATGGTTAAGGTGCCCGTGGAGCCAGAGTAGGAACCGGAGAATCTCGCAGGGATGCCCGAGGGTCTCTTGTTGTTCTCATAGATCACAATGACTGGGGCACCACCAGGTTTCTGCTGCATCCAGTCAAAACCCCAGCTGCTGCCAGTCCCAGAGCACGTGATTTGGGTGCTTTTCTCTGGGAACACAGACGGAGAGGGAAGCTGAGTCAGCTCGCCTGCATGGACCAGGCACTCTGCAGAGAGCAAAAAGGGCAAGAAAAGGGGAGGTCACCAAGTGACAAAGCAGCAAAGATCCCCCAGGCAGCAGGACAGGAACGGGGGCACCATGTCCCACAGGACAGAGCACAAGGACAGATCTCCCCTGGCCCAGGAAGCAGAGAGGGATCTGCAGGGTTGAGGGCCGCTGCAGCAGAAGAGACCCGGGGCAGGGCCAAGTGGGGAGCAGAGCAGAGCCCAGCACGTCCCAGCTCAGGGGCAGTTCCAGGGGGAGCAGGAGGCACCAGCAACAACTGGGGTTGAGGGCTGGGGACAAGGCCACATGGGACCTGTGTGGGGACAGGGCTCCAGGGCAGAAAAGGCAGGACGTTCACTGATAAAGGTTGGCAGAAGAGACAGGAACCAGCACACACCCCACGTCCAAGGTATCGCCTCTTTCACTGCGGGCTTTGTCTCTCCCTTCCCCTATTGCTTGCTCTCCGACCTTGGATGGCAGTGTTCTCCCAGTCAGCACTGCAAGAGCCAGGATTTTCCTCACCCTGAGCCCCAGGGATTATGAAGGTGTTCATGGAGCCAGAAGTGGAACCGCAGAATCACACGGAGATTCTGTGATCCCCGTGATCACAGTCATCAATGGGGCACTGCAGTGCCCAGCCTGAGGGAGCAGAAAGGGATAAAGCTCCCCCAGGACACAGAGCAGCTTGGAGCTGCACACATGGCCCCAGCTGCCCGCTCTGTCCGCAGGTGGCCTTGGGCAGCAAGGGCGAACCCAGGCAGAGCCTTTGCAGCACCAGAGTCCTGGTGCCCAGGGCAGCGTGGCAGCCCCCAGACACAAGGAACCGCTCTGGCCATGGAAACAGGAGGCTCCATAGCTGTGGACGTGGCCCTGCATGGCTTGGAGGAAGGGGAAGACAGCTCTTGCCACTCTGACACTGCTGAGCTTGAGTCTCCCCTCCCCACTGCACTGGGGCACTGTGGAACCAGTACCACTACCAGCACTGTTACCACAGTAATAGACGGCCTCGTCCTCGGCTTGCACCCCAGTGATGGTTAAGGTGTTCGAGGAGCCAGACGTGGAAGCGGAGAATCTCGCCGGGATGCCCGAGGGTCTCTGGTTGTTGTTATAGATCACAGGGACTGGGGCACCACCAGGTTTCTGCTGGTACCAGCCATAGTAGCTGCCACTAGCACCAGAGCAGGTGATGATGGCGGTGCCTCCGGGGTACGTGTCCACCGAGGCCGGTTGCTGAGTCACTGCTGCCTGGACCAGGGATCCTGCAGAGGGAGAGGAGAGAGGGCAGAGAGCGGCGGGTCAGCGAGTGCGGCAGCAGCAGAGCCCCCCGCGCAGCGCGATGCCCCCGGCCCCGGTGCCCGCAGGCCGTGCACCCCCCGGCTGCCCAGGGCACCTGAGCCGTGGGCGAGCAGCGCCAGGAGGAGAGGGGCCCAGGCCATGGCGCGATGCCTCCAGCTGCGCGTCCCCACGCTGACGGGCTCTGCCGCTGACCCCCCCGGGGCTCTGCAGATCGCAGTGATGGTTTGCGTGCCACTGCAGTCATATCCAGAACAAGAGATACCTGCAGTCAGATTTAGTCCAGGCCAGGCCTAGCAGCTGCTCCTGATGACGGGAGCAGGTGATTTGGGGTGCCTGTCTCAAGGACACTCTCACAGAGGGTAGCCAAGTCCCTGCGACCTGCTCCAGGGAAGAGAGTGGGTAAAATGGGGGTGTTATTGGGTTATGCCCGCCGGGCCGCCCTGTTCAAGCGCGTCCCACAGTCACAGGCAGCTCCCAGCCCAGGGCGCCTACGGCCCAACTGAGCTGTGTCTGTAGCCAAGGCAAGAGCTCAACCGTCCCCAGTGCAAGGGCCTCCCCAAGCTCCACTCAGCCTCAGCAGCAGGGCTCACAGAGATGAAACCAAAACATCCGTTACCTCTTCCAGCCCATCCTTGGTCCAATGATGGAGTAGATCTGGAAACCCACTAGACGGTTCTACTGTCCCCATGCTGATGGGGCTCTGCTGTGGATCTCCTTCCTCTCTTTTAAATATCCATGTGCCCAGAGCTTCCCACCCCCAAAGAAATCTGTTCTCTCCTCACAAGCTTCTGAAAGACCAAGATGGTCCCACGCAGGAGCCCTAACAGATGGGCAAGCCAGGAGAAGAGGCATGGCAGGATAATGCTGGGAAGGCCATGCTGGGGACATGCAGGGCCATCATACAGGGAAACCAGACACCCTTCAGTGGTCTGTGCAGGGGTAGGAGGTTTGTGTTGCACTTCCCCAATGCTCGGTACCACCAGCATTGCTACCACAGTAATAGACGGCCTCGTCCTCGGCTTGCACCCCAGTGATGGTTAAGGTGGCCGTGGAGCCAGACTTGGAACCGGAGAATCTCGCCGGGA